TGCATGGTGTATATTAACTGGAAAACTGTCACCAGTGTGAACTATGAGGACTTTTCATGCTTGTTTAATGGCTGCTGCTATGTATGTTTTAAAGGCCCAAGGCTTTTATCGCAGATTTTAATAGAAATACACTTGTCTGGAAATGGACAGCAACTGAGAAGAACATCCATTTAGGCTAACTGCAATGCTTGAGATCTTATTTGCTTAATTTAATAGCTGGTGTCAGATATGGTTACTGGAAAGAAATCTTCTCAGCATACAGGAAGTGGTCGTTTGAAATTTGAGAGTAAAATAAACTGCTGGAAACGAATCATTCATCCAAAGATGTTTCCACTCACTCGTTTTATCTTCTCTTGTCCCATGGGTATACAGTTGGTTCAGAAACTCACAGACCAGTCATGTTGGTAAACTGAGCATGCTGGATGTAGTGTACTGATGGTATATTAAAGGACAACTCTACATTATCACCAGCTAGATTCATAGTTTTCTCCTGCATGCCTATCAATGACAATAACAGAGCTAGTTGCTGAGATGTGGAAATGTGGTGAGATTGTGGGGAGACAATCAGACAGGTGTTCAGAATAAAGACAGGTTAGCTAAGCTGACATGGAATTTTAATACCCAAACCATCCCTGTAAACATCCATCACAGTTTACAGACCGACTCAGAGATCAATGAGGGATAATTAGTGACATGTTATGTGCACTCACTTTTGGTTTTACCCTTTAAATGTTGGCAATATTATTTACAGATAGCAGTGACTGTTTTGGTGAGCATTGCCTCAACTGGTTGAAATGATAACAAAATCTGTGCAAACAGGGCCCACATTATCATAAAACTAGAACTACTGCATTGTGGTAGTATGCCTCTGCAAACCACTCAAGTAGGGTTGGGTCACAAGTGTCACACAAAAGACTGTTCGGCATGTATTTTTCACATTGCGGGGATTTTTCACAGACATTTTTACACAGAGTCCGCACCGCTTATAGTACGCCCGAGTCTGTGGGGACCTGTGTCTGCCTCTTTGCTAAGCGCACAGCGAGCAGGAGAGAGAGGGGGGTGGGGCGGGGACTGAGCTAGGGGGTGCGAGTGCGCATGCGCCGAGGCCTCTACTGTAGCCTGGAGTTTGTTTAATAGTGACAGGGAGTCGATAATGGAAGACAATTTAGTCTCAAAGAAATCAAAGAATGCGCCACTATGGCAACACTTTGGCTTTGAGCCGGACGAAGGAGGCAACCCTTGTTTGCACTGATTGAGTAAGCTGCAAAATTTATTTGTAAGGAATAAAATAAACAACTTGTTACTGTCACTCTGCTGTCCTGAGGTCGTTTTTTATTTTAAATGAGTCAATTTCGCCCCCAAGTGGCGAAAATCTGGTATTACCGACTTGATGCGTCTTTTTTTTTTTTTTTTTACAAAAACTGGACTGTTTTTTTTTTTTTTCTCATACCGACCCAACCCTACACTCAAGTTGCACTTACAGTTTACATCCATGTCTGTGAAAACATGGATGCTTCAAACACATCTTTCTCCTCGGCAGCACAAAAGATCTATACAGTAAGCACAGTTTTAAAGGAGCTATATGTAAGAAATCTAAAGCAAATCGTCATAAAATCATCCTAATATGTCACAGAGACTAAGGAATAATGTTCATATAACATACTGATCTCACCGACACCAATAGTACAGCCAAAATATTTGCATCTAAAAAATTTTTTTGCAGTCTGCAAATCATGTTTATGTTTAAAATTGTGTTTTGGCCTGTTGCGCCACCCACCGCCGTCTACCAGTCACAGTCAGTAGAGTCTCAGCATCAGTTACAGTTACGACTGAGCTACAGCAGCACGGCAAGCAGCATTAGCAGTGTCCCAGTACATAGCATTAGCAGCCGGCTCCTCCTCAGCTGTATCCCGGCAGCAGCGTTGGCAGTGTCCTGGTACATAGCATTAGCAGCTGGCCCTGCCACGGCAGCCGCCCGTGGGCAAACAAATCAGTCTCCAGCGTGCCGCTGTCCAGCAACCTCAAATCTGTAGGGGAGGGGGGGCGGACACGACTCGCGGCAGTATTTTGAATTTGAATGCAGTAACCATTTTGGCCACATTCTTACATAAAGCGCCTTTAAGATTAGTGTTACCAGTCCACTATCTGACCAAATGTGTTGCTTTCTGTTCCTCAGATATGAGGGTACATCGTGATGTCACAGAGTTGACCTTTGACCTTTTGGTAATAGAATATCATCACATCATCATTATAGATGTGTGTGTGAAATTTTGTCATAAATATTACACATGAATTTTTCAGTTATGTCCGAAAACATATTTTGTGCCTTCACAATAAAACTTACTTTTGACCACCAAATTCTTCTTGAGCTCATTATTTCCCTACATTTGTGCCATATTTGAGGAATTCCCTCAAGGCCTTCTTGAGATAGTGTGTTTGGGAAAATGAGATGGACCCAAGGTCATAGCAACCTTGACCATTGACCACCAAAATAGAATAATTTTATTGTTGAGTCCAAATGAACATGTGTGCCAAATTTAAAGACATTCCCTCACTGTGTTATTGAGATACCAAGTTCACCAGAATGACACAGATGCAAGGTCACAGTGAACTTGATCTTTGACCACCTAAATCTAATCAGTTTAGCCTCAAGGGTAAACTGATTAGATTTAGGTGGTCAAAGGTCGACAACTAGAGGGAATTAAAGAAATTCCCTCTAGTTGTTTTATTAGATATCATGTCTCAAGAATGAGATGGACAGACAACCTCCCACAGTCCAAAGACATGCAGGTTGGGGATAGGTTAATTGGTGACTCTAAATTGGCCGTAGGTGTGAATGTGAGTGCGAATGGTTGTCTGTCTATATGTGTCAGCCCTGCGATAGTCTGGCGACCTGTCCAGGGTGTACCCTGCCTCTCACCCTAAGTTGGCTGGGATAGACTCCAGCCCCCTCGCAACCCTCAAGAGGGGCATCTCCAGCTGGCCACCCGGAACTTTTTTAAACCACTTTCATCAGTGCTGTTTCCGGTTATAGAAAGCAGCTGTTTTAATGAAAAATCTCCAATAAGCACACCATTTGCCGCAGTCTTGCCACCAAAGGGCAGACTGACAAATTTTGCCACTAGCTGGTGAACATAATGAAGCATCTTGCATTGAAAGAGCTACATTTTTTCCCCCCTCTGGGGTAGGTGAAGACCAAAACAGAGACCAGAACAAAATGAGGCAATTTACAGCTGATATGTTGCTGGTCATCAGTTCTATAGGACTATCATACGTCAAATGTATTTGATTTTTGGAGGCAGCAGCTTTAAGTGACAGTATTTAATAAAAAGAAAAAATAAATAAAAAAAGTTCTGGCTGCCTAATGCAGTCACTAATGTACAAGGTTGCTTAGTACTGTACATTTTAAAATGAATAGTCTGCAGTCAAAATAATCAGAGGACTATTGATCCCTACAATAGTAAAATAAAGATATATTCTCATCAGCTCTAGTCCCGAGACACCTGAATTACTTAAGTTTCTGATTTATTGAAGCCATTCAGTTATGTAACCTTGTTGTGAACCTAACTGGCATTGAGACAAAGAATGATGGAGTGGACGAAATGAGTGAGTTCAACCAAGAGTCACTCACAGCAACAGACAAATGAGGACATCAGCTTTCAGACAGAGGATGAGTCACGTTGCAGCAGAACAAGCAACATAATGAAAAATGTCATGCATAATGTCAGACTTTGTCTCTTCAATAAGTGTTCCTGCATAATTATTACTGTGTATTGATTTTTCCTTAATGATGTGCCAGAAAGTGTTGCTTTACAATCTCCCACTGATGAGAGGCACACTTATTTATTCATCTTTGATCTAGTCTGTCCTTCCAGCCGTCATTCGTTCATGACAGTAATTCTCATCTGACTCCCTCACCTTTTATCTTTCATATAGGTTGTTCAAAAGAATTCATATTTTAGAGGAAAACACTGTCCTGTATAATTATAATAATAATACAAAAAAAATGCTGCCAGCAAGTACATAAATACAAAAATGCAATGCCATCTGCATCTACAAATATTAAAAAAAAGTGATACAATATTTTGTATGAGGTTTAAAGAATATCAGTAGGAGCAAACCCCCTACTATTCATGGGATTTCTAGTCTGTCATGGGATTTTTAGAGTTGAAATCCAGACTTGGATGAATTCAGTTGATGTTACATGTTCTTACAAGGTTTTCCAAGTGAGTCTTATAGCAGGAATGTGCTACTGTACAATTTATAACATTTTGCAATCCACTGCACACATTCTTTTGGTTTTGGTGGTCTGGGAAACAGAGGTCAGATACACGAACCGCTTTGAAGGCTTGTGACTAAATCATTGTGCATGCAAGGAGAAAGGAAAATGGGTTTAGACACTTTGCGGGAAAACGTGATTCAGTTTTTCATCAAATCAATCATTGTGACAACTGGGAGCACACGTGCAAGCCTGATTTCCACTCCCACAGTTGCCATGGATGTAACTGCACTTCTTCTGCTGCCTTCTCCAGCACTCTTTAAACCTAACAATGAAAGGAACAGCAAAAAAGATGTATCATTTCATTGATCTACCCATGCCACATTGGTGACACATGATCATCATGCAAGGCTGTGGCTATTTATAGAATCCATAGTGTTGTTAATTCGACATGTAAACCATCTCTGGCTTAACTGTATGGACTGTAAAACATTATGGACCACACTGTACACAGTCATAGAAATGGGCTGACAACTTAAATAGTATTTTGTTAATCATATTTTGTCTCTTCAAAGTAGACTTGAGGCACAGACATTCTTACTGCACATTTGTTGATATGGTGCATGCATGGTTTTCGTACATTTGTTACGAACTCTTTGTTTCTTTGCATCCATCTTGTTTGCCTCTTTGCGTCTTGTTTCTCTCCTCTCTCTATATTGGATGACTGAGTGCTTCTGCCTCTAAATGGGACCTCCCATCTTCTCCTCTCTCTTGACACCAGACAGAAGAACTTTGCCCGAGGCATTGAGCAGCAGCTCCCAGATGGCATGGTGGTTGCATCGGTGCCAACAGAGGTCCAGTGCCACGAGGAGCTGTCGGACCCTGTTCCCGACCCAGAATACCTCACAGGTATGAGACCATATTTCATAGTTCACTCTGCTAGCTTGCAGCTGTGCGATACCACTTCATCACCGGCCTGTCGGAAATCCTCATTACTCAAAAAAAAAAAAAAAAAAAAAAAAAAGTCAACTTCTCAGGGCTTGAAAACCAATGTGGAATGCTGTTTGAGTAGCCCAAGGTGTTTGCTGATACATCTGACATTTTAGTCGTCATTTATCACGTCTGGGCGGTGCGCCATGGTTAGGGTGAAAGTGGAGAGTTATCCGGTGCTACAAACTTCATTCATATAGGGCCCAGTGTGGATAGTGTAGACCCCTAATGGGTCCAATGAAACCCAGGACCTGATTCTGGCTGGGTCCTGGCAGGGTTTTGTTTCAGCGGGTCTTACCTCTGTGTGTTAATGTTTGTTGATACAAGTAGAGTCACTAGAGGCTGTGATCATGTGTTTCATGTTAATCATACCAGAATGTGTGTTTTGAGGTAAGGTTCCTTGATCATTGGTGGAGCACCCTGCTGCTGCCAGTGTTGGAGTTCTCACATGATTTGCAAACCTGTCTCCTAGAAATTAGCTTTATTTATGACCAATTTGCAACAGCAGATATGTTTGAAAAGAAATAACGCTGCCCAGATATTTTTTTATCACCCAAAATAGGAAATACTGTTAATAAATGTATTTGGGAATTGTCCACTGATACACACTGATAACATATGTCTTGTTTTCCTACAGTATCCACTCTTGTAATACATTATTTGGTTATAGCAGCTAAGGGATAATTAAACTTATTTATGATTTTGACACAGCAATTGGTTAAGGCCCGTAGTCTAAGTATACTTAAATATAGACTTGGTTAAATAATGTTTATCTTCCTCTCTTTATTTTGAAAATGTATTTTTGCACATTACATCTATTAAGGGTTTGGGTTGGGCTATTTACATTTTGTACTATCAAGTTAGGTTACAAGTCAGGTTGCTGTGTTTCTTCGAAATATTATTTTAAAATTTGGCTTATATTGATTAGTTTTGTTCTTTTCTGACACTGAAGTTTGGTTGCTTGTCCTGTCAGGTGAGTCAGAAGTAAAGAACAATAAAACACAGGAGAGCAGAAACTTCATGCTAATGATTTTGGACTGCATTCAGAGCTTTCACTCGCAGCCTCGAACTATTGACCCACATTGCAGACTTGTGCTTTATTGTACTGTGCCAACATAGTTCAGTGTTGTCAGATATCTAAAATCATATTCTCAGAGATCAAGCTGACCGTTGGCATTTAAAGGGGAACACAACCTACATTAAGGATTCCCATACGTTATATGGATGGTCTAGGAAAGTTCAATCAGTGTTTGTAAATATGAGCTGTTCTCTGTGAAAGCTAGAAACCAGAGAAATAAAGCCTCTTTCCCACGGCACAAAAAAACGAATACTGACACCTGCCAACGTCCAGCTTGTATTTAATGGGAAATGTTACAATTAGCATTCACTCCTGGGACAAATGACTCAGCAGTAGTCATGGATATCTGTCTGCTCCAGCTTCGATCAACTTCGATCATCAGTGATTGAAATACAACTCCCCGTAGGATGCAATCCAAGCAGCGCTCGGACATCATTCAAATTGTAATTGCCACAGAGTTTGAAAGAGAGACTGAAGATAAGAGATATAATAAAGAAGTAACCACTGTAACATTTTCACTGGCCTCCATGCTGCTTTCTACTGTTTACTAGCCCTTCTGTGACTTCAAACGTGTCTCACCAGTAACAAACAGAAAGGCATATTCGTCTGCTGCAGAGGCCACTACACAGCTCTGGTCTACTGGCAGTGGGAAAAGGGTCTATCTCCTGTTTTTCGCGGATTAGCATACAAGTGCTAATTTTGATGTGAAAAAAGGTATAAATGTCTCGGTCTAGAGCTGCTCCATGGACAATGAATAGGAGACTGAATTTGTGGACCGGAGATTGCTTGTTTTCTCATCTATACCCAAATAAACTCTTCTACTGTAGTGTTTTCAGTTCTGAAACAGAAATTGTGTCCATATACCCAGAACATTCCCCTGCATGCTTTCAGTGTCAACTAGAGCAACTTTCCCAATTTATTGTCTATGGAGCAGCTCCAGACTTTGTACTTGAAAATACAAATTTGAGTTTTAGCACTTTTGAATTAACAAATGAAATCCCCCATGTCCCCCCATCATGTCCATATACTGTTTTACTATATGTACAGTACCAGTCAAAATTTTGGACACACTTTTCCATTCAAGTAAATGGGAAAGCGTGTCCAAACTTTTGACTGGTACTGTACATATGTATCTATATCTATATATATCTACATATACATA